TTTTTTTTTTTTTTTTTTTTTTTTTTTTGATGCATGCACATAGGGGGGGCTGGTACCGCGCACTTTTATATTTTTTTTATAACATGTGCATTTTTGGCTACATCCCCTTTTTGCCGTTATTCGTCCCTTCACCTTCACACTTTTTACTTAAGGGTTTCACTGTTCACTTTTTTGTGTTAACTTTTTTTTACCTTCTTCCTTCTTCCATTTTGGTACCTCAATTTGTTTTCGTAATTGTTAATTTTAATTTAGGCTTATATTCGGATTTAACCTTTTGTAGGATTTTTTTTTTTTTTTTTTTTTTTTTTTTTTTTTTTTTTTTTTTTTTTTTTTTTTTTTTTTTTTGTTAGTCATTTTATACCATGCGCAAGCATGCGACTTCACCCATGTGATGTGAGGTCGCGTGTTGCCTTTTGCCTCCTTTTGTTTACGCTTCCCCCCTTTTTGGTGAAGCCTGAGTGAGTTACCCTCATCACGCATTTGCACGTCGCACCTACCTTCAGACGTGCGTGGGAAGATGGCAGTGTGATGGGTCAGAAAAAAAGGAGGGTGTTTAACAGAATTTCGTTTTTTTTTTTTTTTGTTTTTTTTTTTTTTGTAAAAAGCTACACAGGGAGGAGGAGGGTTTGCAGAACGCATGAGAGGACGTGGCACCTGGAGGAGATACCCCAAGATGTGTCCCTTCAACGTCGCACCTGTGCGTGTATAGAATATCGCGCGGTGAGGAAAAACATACCTCTCATCACGTTTCATTTTGAGGGGAGGGCCAACGGAGGAGTGAGTCCAGTTCAATGGAAATGCGTCATGGGGTAAAATGGTGCAACGCTTCAAGATGTGTGTGAGGGAGAGGATCAGTTTCCGTGGTGCTTAATCGGTTTTTCTTTTACATATAGCTAGGCAGCGCAACGGCACAGCTGATCACACGTGTGCAAGGAAAGAGGAAACCCATTCTGTCACCCCACCCCCCACACACACAATTTTATCTAATCAGAGAGAGGGGGGAAAAAAAAAAAAAAAAAAAAAAAAAAAAAAAGGCCCCCCCCCCTTATGAGGGAAAGAAAAACCCCCGGGAAGGGGAGCAAAAAAGGGGGGGAAAAAAAAAAAAAAAAAAAAAAAAAAAAAGGCCCCCCCCCCCTGTTTACGTGACCCCCCTTTTATGAAGCAAAATGAAGAGGAACATTTTTAGGGTGAGGTGCGCGGCCAGAATGTACGCTCGCGCAAGTGGGGGAGAAGCGAATGGAAGGCAGGCGGACGAATGTGGTGCTGCTGATGTTACGACCTCCCCCCCCCCTCCTAGTGAAGGCAACTGGTGCAGTGCTCCCCCCACGTGGGGGAGAGGGATAATGTTCTCGTCCATTGAAAGCGCTATGAAGAATTCATTGTGGGCACCTCACGTGAGAAAATACAGAAGTGCGAAGATCAAATGGACTCAACTTCCAACCCTAAGCGGAATGACTAAAAGACGCAACGGAGGTGCAGCAGGAGCAGCAACAGGACATAAGAGAAGATCCGTTTTGTACCCCCCCATTGGAAATTCTCCTCCAACTCAAATAAATGAAATACTAATGCTACTAGACAAGAATCAGAAAGACATGTCGTTAATAAAATATCTTTTTATGGTTAACTGTATAATTATGATATGTCTCCTTTTGGGTTCTGTTAATATATTTTTAGGTGATTCTATTAATAAATACGTTTTAATACAAATTGAAAAAGTACTTTCAGATGTGAAGAATTCTTCTAAGGCGCAATCAATTATTAAAGGAATGCTAAACGATATCTTATATAGTGTAGTGAATGATGAGTATAACAAAAATGCCACCACGAAATTTTTCGTGGACACTCTCTACAGTTCGAAGAGTGAAGTGGGAAATGTATTCACAGATGTGTTACAAACAGAGCATGTAAGGAATAGTCTTAAGAGTGTTTTCCTTGAAGTTTCAAATTACTTGTGTAACAATGAACAAGTTCAAATGAAAGTTTATCACCTCCTGTCGGAAGCCATACACCTACCTATTGCTATTGACACATCTAAGAGGTGGCTCAACGACCTGTTCAGGTCAGAAAGTGTAACAAGCAATGTTAGAAAAATTATACGTGAAGAAATTTTTAACAATGACCAAATGATTAACGGCTCCATTGTGTTCATTCAAAATGCTTTAATCAATGCCATGCATGATAAAAAAACCAAGGACGTGAGTAAGTTATTCTTTGCTTCTATAATTGCTAACCCAGAGTTTCAACAACAGGTTTCAGGAAGCCTCTGGAAGATTGTTAAGATGGCTCTGTCCCCTAAGTGGATAAGCTATGAAGGAGATCATGTTGATTTCAAAGTGGGTATACAGTCACAGAAGAGTAAACGGGATGAGGTACGCGTGTACAATAACTCCCTCTTGGAAGCAGGAAATAATCATGTCGGCACGATTAGTTGTGATGTTAAACATGTTAGCGATGACCTTGCGGAGGACCCTTCACAAGAGACGGGCACCGGTAGGAACGAGCTGCTGTCGTTGGGTCAGAACATGCGAGGAAATGTGCTTAGTGAAGAAGAAGCCCCTTTGGACGGGAGCCAAATGCAAAAGGGGGGAGAGGTTGCAGGAGATATGAAACAAGTCATGAGTGAAATGAAAAATGTGATTAACCTTTTTGAAAATGCACACATATGTGATGGGCATACGGACGTAACGGAGTGTGAGCAGATGTACGCTGGGCAACAATTTCAAATGGGCATGGCAAGAAGTGCAAAACGTGTGGATGTGGTAAATGTGGAGGAACTACGAAGCTTCCTTTCTACTTCCAACCCGAGTGAGAAGAATGCTACCCCACTAAGTGCCATCCCCATTTGTAAAATTAAAAGCCTTAAGGAAGAGGGGGCAGCAGTCCCCTCAGGAATGGTAGTACTTCCTGGCGAGGCACCCCTTGGCACCACGTCGCCAAGCCATGCTGCACCGAGTAACCGTGCAGTGACCCCCGCGGGAGGATTCGCATGGAGAGTCAAATTTTTTTTGCTCGACGCGTACCGATTCTACGTGCAAAAGTATTACTTCTACTACTACTACGTGGAGCGGGTCAAGGGGGTCCTGCAGAAGGCGCTGGGGGTGAAGTTCTTCTGAGGGCCTTCGGCGAAGAGTCTCCGTCGCCCCATGCGTTACTGCTTTTTTTTGTATCACCGCGCGATGTGCCATGCGTCCTGCTTCGTTGTGTATCACTGCGCGATGTGCCACGCGTCCTGCTTCATGTGCACACTCGAGAAAACAGCTACTTCCCCACGCAGAAGGAATCCAATATTTCGTTCAGTATTTGTGTCTGGCTGAACCCGCCAATGATTCCATTGAGGGCCCTAACAGCTAGCTTTATTTCCTCCGCGATGATGTCAAATGTTAGGAAGTGGCGATGTCGCTTTATAAACAGGAGGTGCTTCAATGCCCTGCGCAGGTGTGTCTTGTGTCTCTCGAATGGGAGGAAGGCTGGCGAGTCTAAGTCAAGTTGGTGTGGATTTCTCAACCGCGTCTTCCGCTCCATCACGTCGTTGAGGCCCCGCAACAGCTCGTCCACGTTGTGGCCCTTTTTGGAGGAAACGAAAAAAATGGTCTGCCACACATGTTGGTAAATATTTCGCAAATGAGAATTTTGTAAATGCTTGTTTAGGATCTGCTTTATGTTTTTCCTGACCTCCTCTTGAGTTTCATGAATGGACAAGTCACACTTGTTCACGCAGATGATGAACTGAGGCAGGGCGGTCGCTGCTTCCCTCGTGATGCATTTCCTCCTTCTAAACTTGCTAGCCAAAATGGAAAGAGCAAGTTTCAACTCGTCCACATACTTCCTCACATTCAATACAATTAACACGCATGCACTTTTGTGAAGATACTTGAGCGTTTTTTTTACCCCAATGCGTTCGAGTGCTCTGTGTGGTGTGTGCTCCCCAGAGGGGGCGTCCATTTTCGCGTCACCCCTAGGTAGGTACTCCCCTCCAAAGACATGCGCACTAATCCCTGCGGAGTCGCAAAAGTTGTAGGACTTGCCCTCAACGCTGACCCCCTTCTGCACCACGTCAATGGTGCTCCCCTTTATCTTCGTCACGATAGATACGTCACTGCGACAAATACGATTCATCAACGTACTTTTTCCCGAATTGACCTGCCCGAAGAGAAGCACATGAAGAGGGTTACTTAAGTCTTCCACATTTGGTTTCTTCAAAATATTACTAATGCTTTCAATAGCGTTATTCAGATGGAGCTTCATGAATTCATTCACATAATTTTTCTCCTGGTCAGAAGATAAATGTTCATCTTCCAGGTCTATTTTAACTTGTGTGTAGAGCAGAAGTTTCTTCATGTCGTTTCGCAAAGTTAAGTAGACATTCCTTGCTTGTCCATTTAAATAATTTAAAGCAATTTTTTTCTGTTCTTTTTTCTTACACCAAAGTAACTCCTTTAATCCCTCCACCTGGAGTAAATTCATTTTCTGATTTAGGAAGGATCTTCTGGTGAACTCCCCCTTTTTACTTAATCTTATTTTGTTAAAAAAAACATCATTTCTTGGTGTTAATAATTTGTTCCAAATTTCTTCTGAACATGTGCAGGTGAAATTTTCCTTTATATCATTTTGGCTATAATACTTTTCCTTTTCATTTTTCAATATGTTGCTGAAAAGGGAATTTAATTTTTCAATCTCCTCCATAATTTCTTTCACAATTAGAGGAGATCCATGACAATAAATCTCAACCACGTCTTCTCCTGTGTACGATTTGGGACTTTTAAAAAGGGTATACATTACTTGGTCGATCAGTTCGTGACAGTTGCTATACATCACTCCGTTGTACATCTTCCTTTCTTCGAAGTGTTTCCTCACCTTCATTACTTCGTCTAGGCTGTACTCTGTTTTTTTCTTCCTAGCGTAACTGTCCGGGGGGGGCTCCTCTGGGGTGAACTCACCATTTGCTTCGCCACTTTTCTGACCGCTCCCCCCCCCATGCAACAGTACCTCGAGCACAATCCTGCTCAGTGGGCCCGACATACGCACCACCGCTATGGCGCTCACGTCCCTGCCCGAGCTCAGCGCATATATCGTGTCTCCCTCGTTCAGCATTCTCGCGAGGTATTCCTCCCGCAGGGTGCCATTATCATCTGTAGCAGCATGAGCGGTACGCACAACGCACGTGGCAACGGTTTCATTAGTGCCCTCGCCAACAGGCAGAACTCCCCTCGAGTCATTCACTGCGAATCTTCCTCCCTTCCTGTTCCCACAACTCTTCCACGTCGCTTTGTTCCACCTCGCTTTCCTCCACCCTGCCTTCCTCCCCCCAAGAAAACCATTCCTTTCGTAGAAGAAATCACTCCGAGGGATGAAGCAAACGAGGATTTCTCCTCTGCTGTTACTTCTCTTTACACTCATACAGGGGCTAACAAGGTGAGTCACAAAAATGAACCCTAGCAGTTTGGACAAAGTTACATGCATGGGGGACTGGGCACCCACACATACGAAGCGGCAGAGGGGATTAATTGAATTCTGTGTGGCGATGTCGACATGGGGAGCGCCCACTCGGTCTGGCAGGAAAGTTGCCTGACCCAACGAGCATGACCTTTACGTGTGTATACACTCATGCGCTGCTTCATCAAAAGGTTCTCTCACTCCCCTTTTTCATCTGCGCAGAGGCGGTTAAAATGTGCTTTTCCCCCTCATCAAAAAAAAAAAAACAAAAAAAAAATATGACCGTTCAGGTGAAAGCTATTGCAAATGGAGCCCAAAAAAAAAAAAAAAAAAAAAAAAAAAACAAAAAACCTATGGGACTCTACCACGCCGCCTCCCATTTTATCACTGCAGAGGGGTTGGTGCCATGTGACGGTGCAGGTTGGATATGGCCAGGCGGGGGGCTACTCCCGGACGGCGAAATGTTGAACGCGCACTTTGGGGGAACTTCTCCCCCTCTTTAACTTCCTAACAAAATCGGCTGCGTTGTGTGCAGTGCGCGAACGCACCACCGCGCCAGCGGTAACTGCTCACTCCAAGTCGAGGAGGAAAACGAAGCTGGTCTCCCCCTCAGTTTGCACATTCAGGTAGTCGCGCTCCTTCACCTCGCCCCTGTCCACGAGCTGCGCGAAGGTGGCGCCGAGTCTCTGTTCATAGTCCCTCCCCACAAACCACCTGGACGCAATGAACAAAATGGTGGACTCGGTGGAAATGCTGATTCGTTCGAACCCGTACTCCTTCCTAATGTATTCAACAAACTTACTTAATGTATCGCTTCGCTTAAAAACAACATGAATCCGTTTTCTTCTGCATATGACGCACTGTTGGTTTTTATATATTTTGTAATGGAGGAGGTAGAACCCGTTATCCCCAACATAGAGTATGTCGCTGAAATCGTGTGTACGACTCGACACCTCGTGTATATGTTTTCTATACATGTGCGAAGCAACGGTGTGCATTACATATATCATTAGGGAAGAGATCACCATTAGGGTACTGATGGTGGTTGGGAGTGTGTTTTGAACGACCTGTCTCGTTACATGATAGTCCTCGTAGTCGATTTGAAATTGTGTAGCTCTCTTTTTCGCTTCTTCGTGAATCCACACGAGGTGGTTTTTATCGTTTACGTTGAGCTTTTCTCTCCTGATTTGCTCAAATGCTACATGCATGGCGTATAGGATGCAGTGGGTGAAGTTTGTTGGTCTTCCCGCGATGGAGCACACGGGAACGGCTTCCCCTCCATCTCCACCATCGCCTCTCCCCCCCAGCTGGTCTTCTCCCCCCGTGGCGTAATTCGCCACAGTGCACTGCACGCAGGCAAAGTGGCTGACCCGGTCTACAATCTTAACACTTCCCCGGAGACCCTCCACCCCCCCATCAATGTAAATAACATTTTTCCTTAAAGTAAAAATTAAATTATTCAGGTACATCCTACTGCTTATGTTGTCCAGGCAACCCATTAGGAAATCAAAATGCTCAAAGAAATCTGTGTCGAAAGATTCAACATTTTTCACAAACGATGTGATATGGATGTAGGGGTACCTTTCCTTTACCTTTTCCTCAATCACGACTGCTTTGCTTTTTCCAATGTCATCATGTGTGAAAAAAAATTGTCTACTTAAATTGCTCACTTCCACTGTGTCATGATCCACGATGGTTATGTTTTTTACATTTTGGTATATCAGATTTTTTACGACTTCATTTCCCAATCCTCCACAGCCTACCACTAGCACTTTGATTGAGTCCATGTGTGTGACCTCCACCTCGGTTGACTTGCTCCCCCCCTTTTTTTTTTTTTTTTTTTTTTTTTTTTCCCAATTTTGTTTTTTTTTT